TATATGTTTATATATATATATATATATGTTTATATATATATATAGATATGTTTATATATATAGATATGTTTATATATATATATATATATATATTATATATATATATATATAGACCCTTTACAAATGATTAGACTATCATGGAAAAGTTGCTTAACTTCCATTCAAAAAGTTAATCTTTAATAGATGCTAGATTCACGGTCAGCAATTTCAAGTATTTTTTTGTTTATTTTTACGTAAGTTGGGCTTCCATCGGGCAGCATGGTGGCGCAACTCGTAGAGCTGTTGCCTCTCAGCGAGCAGGTCCTTGGTTCAAATCCCGGTCCAGGGGCCTTTCTGGGTGGAGTTTGCATGTTCTCTCCGTGCATGTGTGGGTTTCCTCCAGATACTTCGGTTTCCTCCCACAGACCAAAAACATGCATGTTAGGCTGATTGGTAACTCTAAATTGTCTCTAGGTGTGAGTGAGAGTGTGAATGGTTGTTTGTCGCGTTTGTCTCTATGTGTCCCTGTGAATTGATGGACTTGTGGACATGGGCACTGGCGACCCCCGTGACCCAAAATGGAAGAAGCGGGTAAAAGATAATGGATGGATGTGCTTCCAGCTCATTAAACTCACGAAAACAGGCTTCAGGGTACGGATCACCCGCGATAAACGAGAGACTACAGTATTTCTGAAGGACCATTGTTGACTAATAAACGCTGCATGAAATCTGATCTGTCTGAAAGGATCTATTTATATACATCTTATTTTTACAAGTTTTATCTTCACCAACCACATTGTCACTTTCACCACAAGTTTAGTCATCAAGTTGAAAGCACGGATGATTTCTATGAGTCTTCCCCCTCTGTTCATTCTTTCTGAGGGCCATCCCAATAACAGTCGACACCATAATCAGTCCCAGCGTGTTGACCCCATCGATGTTCTCACCCACTATCCGTGCATGAACTTCTTCCTGAAGCAGGAAGAGACACAGCAAAGGTACGACAGTGACTCAGTACATGAGGAATGATCACAACTATAAGAAAATCATTTCCAGTACCTCTTCCAGGGTTGTGTTAAAATCTTCAACCTTTACCAGGACCCTCCGAGTCTTGTACTAAAATTTAAAAAAATAATAATTTAAAGCCAGTCATGTTCAGTTGTCTGGGCCTCTTTAATAAATAAGGAATAAAACCTACCTCTTGGTAGCAGGCCTGAATTATATTTTGTGGTATCATGTTCCTACGAAGCACCACAAGAAAACAAACATTTTAAAACCGTAGGTCAACTTGAGATAGAGATGAATTTAAAACACAGCTTTATCAAAGAGTGTTATCTTTATTTTATCTACACGTACATCTTTTTCTCAGAAGACGAGCTTTGTTCTTACCTTATCAGATCCAAAATGGCATGAACTGAGTTCAAGTCATCATCGTCCTCCTCAGTTTTTGGATTTACATCGATGACCCCTAGTTTGATTAGTTGTACGACACATAGTCCAGATTTGAACTTTAGGATGAAGCCCCACCAGCTCAGCCTCTCAGTGCAGGGGTACTGATGTTAAATTAGCTTGTGTGAAATAGCTAGCCTGCTTGTTTTTTCATGCACACAAGAAAAAAAATACATAATTTTAGGCCTGGAGTGTCCAGGCCTAACATGTCAATTATAACATAATTAGAATAGTCCAAATCTGCTCATCTTCATGTTAAAGTGAACTCCAGTAGAATAACATATTGAGCATGCATCAGGATATCCAGTAGAATAAATCATCAACGTTGAGACAGCTGCCAAGGTGGGTACAAAGCAGACACAAATGGATGCAAAGCAGGCCAAAGCAATAATGAGGTGGGTACAAAAAGGTTTGTGGCAGACAGTTTCTTTTTGTACCCAGATATTAAGGAAATGTGGTGACCAAAGAGTAAGAATTGACCTGGAACAAAACGAGTTCAAATCTTTCTTACTGCTATAACAAAAGTTTCTGTTGACGAATGTGCACGCTCAGTGTGTGAACCACTGTCTCTTCCAGCAGCATGGTGAGAAACAAGTGGATATTTTTCAATTTAACTGGGTAGGCACCAGTTACACCTGGGCAGTAATAAGACACCACTTACTGCATGGTCTACAGATCGAAGACGTTCAAAAAACATTTTGCTTGCTGAAACCCAGCAAAATCTTTCTCTTACCACTTAGTATAGCCAGAAATGTGGTGAAGACAAAGTATATCATTGCACGGATGGTGACTTTTCTGGAGGGGCTGACATGTGCAGGGGCAATTCCTGTTGAATAAAAACATGTTGATAAGCTGATGTCTGCATAGAATGACATAGTTCAGCCTCTGGGACGTCCCTGTGGCTTTCAAACCCCAAAATACATTACGGCAAAGACTGGTTCATCCCAAAGATCCAGTCCCCCGGCACAAACAGAGTAATGTTGTGTATGCTGTTCAGTGTCAGGAGGGCTGTGATCAGTCTTACATCAAGGAAGCTAAACAGCCACTGGCCAAAAGGATGGCCCAGCACAGAAGATCAACATCTTCAGGCCAGGACTCTGCAGTCTACACTCATCTCCAGGCCAGAGGTCACTCATTCAGGGATGAAGATTTGCACATTATTAATAGAGAGGACTGTTGGTTTGAGAGAGGAGTGAAGGAAGCCATATTTATTAAACAAAACCGTCCATCAGTAAACGGGGGCGGAGGCCTCCGTGTCCATTTATCCCCCTCTTACAATGCTGTAAGTATCACTCAGCCCTCTGTAAATGGCAAGCGGCCATCAGGGCATTAACGATCTGTCGTGACGCTGATGGTCCTCCTTTATCATGAACAGCTAGTGCTGGCTGTCACCAGCAAACTGGCTGTCCACTTTGCTAGGTGCTATTTATAAGACTGAGTTTAGTGCAGCTCCTCAGACTGACGAAGTCTTTTGGTTAAAAGACGAAACGTTTCAACATTTTATTATTTTTTTTAATCCGTCCAGAGGACCAGACGTAATTTTGTTAGAAAGCTTTAAAGAGGATTCAAATTATTTATAAGACAAACCCACATGACCCCAACAGAGGGAGGCTAAAGTAATACAGTAAAGTCAAATTACAACAAGCAGATGAAGAAAAAAAGTTACAAACTGTAAATAATCTCAAACCTTATTTGCTATATTTCAGTGTCAGCTCTGCAAATAATTACCAAAACATTATTTGAAAAGCCTTCAAACACTGGTGTACTCTTGTAACTTACCCAGAATGACGTTTGTCATAAGCAGAGGGACGGTAACCAGACTAAGCAAGCTGTAAAAATGTCTCCTGGGAAGTGAATATAGCCTTCGGCAACTGCTGACAGAGGGACGAAGCTCTTCAAAATCAAGCCAACAGTTACACCTTCAACAGAGTGAAACGTTTTGTTAGATCAACTGCAAATAATCATTCTATCAAGGGCAACATATAGGCCTGATGGAGAAAATATCTGTGAAGCTTTAAAGCAAAACTAGAAACTAAATATGCTGCATACAGAAAAAGTAAAGATTATTAAAGAAACACAATTTACTCTGAAAAATGCTGGTGATTTATTAACAATGTTATTTGCTTCATCTTCAGCTCAGACCAATTTAAGCACTTTTATACATACTAACATGTCCTAAAAATTAAAAATAAATTTAATAAAAGTTTGAGAGCAATACATTTTTCAGTTCTTGTAAAAATCTACATTACTCCGAAACGTTTTTGTTATATTAAAAAAAAGTGTATCAGGAAATGTATCACATGGTACTAAATTATCTTGATAATGTCAAAAGGCCTAATTATTCAGACTTTCCCCAAGATTAATGATAGTAGTCCAGCACCTGCATTCACACATTCTTAAATAAAATAAACATTTTGTCCCTTAGAAGACAGCAAAGCTATTTTATCAGTAGAAATAAAGATTAAAAAAACAAAACCAGTTTCTTGGAGTCAAAGCCTTTCACTAGATGGCACTGTTTAATCAGCTTTAATGAGGTAAAAGATGCCAACTACTGGAATAAATTGTCCTAACAGTATCCTGATGCATGCTCAATAATCCAGGTAGAAAAATCCAAAAAAGTTCAATCTGGTCCTCTGGACATTCAAAAAAACAAAACAAAGCAAGAAAAAATATAAAATAAA